AAGTTTAGGGTTTACACTTTGGTAGTGTAGGATTTAAGGTTTAAAGTTTAAGCTTAAACTTAGGTAACGCAGGGTGTAACGCTTCAAGTTCAGGATCCCGGTGTCCTCGCGGTACAGGCCTGCAGCCAAGTCGACGTGACTCGGCACCTCAGTTGCATGCAGTCCGCTCTTTCAGGAATTTGGGATTCAGGGTTTAGGGTTTAGGGTTTAGGGTTTAGGGCTTTTTTAGGTTCTACTTTAGGGTTTCGAGGGGACGACAGACTACACGAGCCTGAGCCTGAATTACACTTCTCCCCCCCCTGTGTCGGCCTACGTTAATTGACACGCAAATTACAAGGTCTCATCAAGTAGAGGACTGTGGAGTGAACAGAAGCAAAGGCTGCCCCAAAGATCCAGGCATCTCAAAAAACATCTACATGAGTGGTTGTCAAAATTATGGTCCCTTTTTGGATCCAAATTGTAATACGGCACCTAATATTTCGGGTACCCCAAAAAGGGGTCATAATTTTGACAGCCGCCCACATAATTAGGCCCCGTGTAAAGCCAAAGGCTTCCCTACTTAGGTACATGGGATCCTAAGCCTGAAGCCTAAGCACTCAGTACAAAGTAAATTTCAGGGCTGCCCTAGACCCTAAACCCTAAACCCCAAACCCAAAACTTTAAACCCTAAACCCTAAGTCCGGTGAACAAGCAACGCCGAAGATCAGACCAAGGGTGAGGTGGCCAGCAAAACAAAAAACTGTCATTTAGGGTTTAGGGTTTAGGGTTTGACATTTTGGGTTAGGGTTTAGGGCAGTTTTAGGTTCTAGGGCTTCAGGCTTTGGAGGCAACAGGGCATTTAGGGCTTCAGGGTTTGGGGCTAAGGGGAATTAAGTTCTTGGGCTTGATTAGGGTTTTAGGGCATTGCAAGGACGCACCCCTTGCCACACTAACTGTAGTTAAGGGACTTCAAACCGAAGGTAAGACCCTCCGAGCCCAATTAGGGTCCTGATAAGTCTACTTGCAACTAGGGGGGGCCCTCCTTGTAGGGTTGGGGCTTCAGGGCTTTTAAGCTTGAGAGCTTAGGGTTTGGAGGTACAGGTTTAGGAAGGCTTAAAGGTTTATAGGAGGGCTTGAAGGCATAGGAGGGCTACCGAGTCAGAGCTAGGAAACAGGCTTTAGGGTTTGGGGTTTAGGGCTTAGGGTTTTGGGTTTATCCGTGCCCTTCTAGATGCTGTTCACACGACCAGTTTGACCGACCATTCGCGCGACCATGGATCGTTCTCAAGTCTTGCTAGGAAGTGACCAATTCTTCTCCAGCGTCCTGCAGGGCTGTGCCGGACTTCATCATCGGCAACCTATGCAGATCCTCCACGTCTTTGTGCTTGAATTCAGCGTGCTGGCGATCGTCTTAGCAATGCTTTGCTGTTACATGCAACGCATGCGACCCAGCCTCTGTCAGTTTTTACCAGGCGTCGACCCCGTGAACGGACTTGTACCCTAAGGTCCATGTACGCAAAAAGGAAGATACTTGGGCCTTAAGGTGCCTCCTATATAGGTACGTTTGGGGCCAGAGTACATAATGATGAGGTACATGGACCCTTATATAAGGTTCAGGATTCAGGACCGTAGGGTGAAGGATTCAGGATTAAGCGTTAGAATTTCTGAGGCATACGAAGCCGCAATTCTCCTACGCACAGCATTTCCAGGGCCTCCTGTAGCCCAAGCTTTTCATCCCCAGTCCGAAGACCCCTAAACCCTAAACTCTAAACCCTAAACCCCCAAGATCCCAAACCCAAAGCCCCCCCAAAACACCGAAAGCTCCTGACTCAGGGTTTGGGGTTTAGGGTTTAGGGTTTAGGGTTTAGGGTTGAAAGCCCCATGTTGACGGCGGCCCAGGCGCCCACGGCGCCTGCCTCCTTCGCAACACCTTGTGAGGGGAGGCTCATGGTTTGGGGCTTAGGCTTTTAGAGTTCTGGGTTTGGGGTTTAGGGTTTTGTGGTTCAGGACTTTAGGGTCTGGGCCTATTCGGAAAGGGTCGCGGGTTTAGGGTTGATCTACATTTGGGGCTGGTTAAGGGGTAGCTAGCGCAGAAAATAACATGCAAAACCAAAACAGCAGGTGTGGTAGACATCGCTCCAGGGTGTGAAAACTGAATGACGCTCAAACAGGGGTGCAACTCCAAAAATCGAAGAGCACCAACTTTTGCTTGACGGGCGACTGGAATACTAAGGGTCCACGGAACTGAATGGGGAATACTTGGCGGCGCGGAGTTCTTATATAGGAAGTAAGTTAAGGCGCAAGTATTCCATACAGAGGTGCATGGACCAGGTTAAAGGATTGGGTTTTAGGGTATGGGGTTTAGGGCTCCGAACCCTAAACCCTTACATGCGGCTCCCTGAGAAGCCCAAGCCCTAATCCCCAAACTCTGGAAACTAGGGGCTTCGGGTTAGGGTTGAGGGTTTCGGGCAGGATTTAGGGCTTAGGATTTAAAACTAGGACTCCGGGTTTAGGGTCTTTGGATGTCTTTCTCTAGGGTTTCGGGTTTAGGGTTAGGGTTTAGGGTTTAGGGTTTAGGGTTTAGGGGTTTGTGGTTTAGGGTTTAGGGTCCCCCCCCCACCGCCTTCTCGGTGACCTCCTCCACCGTTTCGCACTCAGAATGGGGCGCAGCCTTGTCGACTCAAAATGACATCCCAAGCCCCAGCTTGCTCGGGAACCCTAAACCCTAAACCCTAAACCCTAAACCCTAAACTCTAAACCCTAAACCCTAAACCCCATACTAACCCTAAACCCTAAGTAAACCCAAGAAATTGAGCTCCAAGATGCGGGCCGAAGCCCTATGCCGGTTTAGGGTTTAGGGTTTAGGTTTAGGGTTTAGGGGCCACTGTGCGGTCAGCTACCTGAATTACGGTCCCTTCGGGCAGGGTTTAAGGTTTCGGGTCTAGGGTTTAGGGGGTATCCCAAAAGGATTGTACCTGAGGTCCATGTACCTAAATAGGAAGTCCTTGTGCCCTAAAGTACCTCCTATTTGGGGATTTCAGGGGCCCAGGTACACAACAATGAGGCACATGGACGCTTTAGGGGTACAACTTAGCGAGCTGGCCAGGCACATCTGCCTTCAGACAAACACCCTCCCCGCGCTAAAGGTGCGATAACATACCTGTCCGAGAGTTTAACCCTACAAGGAGGTTAAGGGGCTGATAACCCAAGTTTGGAGCCCCCTAAACCCTAAACCCTAAACCCTAAGCCTTAAATCCTAAACCAATTTAGGGTCCTCATAACTCTACTCATTTCTAGGGAGCCCCGCCTTGTAGAGTTTAAGCCTGAGTGCTTCACCCACATCTCGAAGCCCTGCCCTACTCTCCCACTGCACTGAGAGCCAGCCCCGCCAAAGAGCTCTGTGAGGACACAGCCTAAGCAGTTGCGGGCCCTCACTCAGACGGTTTCGGGGCTAACCCCCCCCCCCCCCCCCAACCCTAACCCCCGCAAGCCCTGAACCCTAAACCCTAAGCCCTATAGGCCCTATAGGCCCTAAACCCTAAACCCTTATAAACCCTAAACCCTAAACCCTAAACAACAGCCTACATGGGTCAAAAAGGGGTTGGCGACTCAGGGCTGGGGGAGCTTCGATGCCATGACCCCAAAGGGTGGGTTGGGCTTGCTGCTTCTGCTACCATCCGTTGGCTTCTTCTTCCCAGATCTTCCAAAACCCCTTAATTAAGGTATATACCCTAATTCAGAATAAGAATCCTTAGTATACATTCGGGTATATTCCTTATAATTAAGGGGTTTTGGAAGATCTGGGTTCTTGCCAGTGATGACGAGCGGCAGATTTTCTATGCGTACGAACGTACACTACGAGAGATCTAACTCGCTAGTGTCACTACAATGTGTCACTACAACAAACGCAGATGCTCACTGATCGCTATTTTTCTTAGTTTAGTGCTGCAATACGCGACGTCTCTGCACCGGCTTGGTATGGGGTTTTTGGGTTTTGAAGAGACACCCCCCCCCTCCCCCAGCTACCCCCACCCCCATTGTAGTTCCGTTCTTCGGTGCTTGTTCTAGATTAGGTTACATAACCATGTACAGGTCAGCATCCTCAACAAAGATCCACACTCGACGGTTCTAGGGAAGCCGTAAATCTTCCACCTTTGGCCAGGGTTCAGGATTTAGGCTTTGGAGATCAACGGCCGGCCCCCGACCATCACGAAACTTACCTGAACCCAACCCCTACTGGCCCTACTGTATGTTTACAAGATAACTAAGCTTAAATGAAATTCTCCTGAAGGCTCTAGGCCTCTAGGCCTTAAACCATATGCAAGCCCTAAACCTTTTGCCTGATTTAGGATTTCCGACGCCGCTGAGAGGCCCATACAACTCCAAAGCACTACCCTCAAGAGCCTACCCGAAACCCTAAACCCTAAACCCTAAACCCTAAACCCTGAACACTAAACCCTAAACCCTAAAACTCCACGGTACAACCTGGCGCACCCAGTCGGGCCGCCCCGCCCAGAGACCAGAGGTCGGAAGCTGGGCTCTGGTTTCGCAAGGCTTCCAGACCTGGGAGAGATCGGGGTTTAGCGTTTAGGGTTTAGGGTTTAGGGTTGAGGGTTGGGGGTTTAGGGTTTAGGGTTTAGGGTTTAGAGTTTAGGGTTTAGGGTTTAGGGTTGAGGGTTTAGGGTTTAGGGTTGGGGGTTTAGGGTTTAGGGTTTAGGGTTTCGGGTTTAGGGCGCACAGAAGCTGTAGTCTTTGCCGTCGCCCCCTCCACAAGCACGTCTACTTCCGCAGGCGGCGCAGAACCAATGAGGACTGTACAACTCAAACGTTCCATGTACCTATATAGTACATACTTGTGTTCTAAAAACCACGTCTGGGACAAAAAACCGTAGCCCGCATGTGCACAAGGCACGGGTCACATCGTCATCTCCTAAACCCTAAACCCTAAACCCTAAACCTTAAACCCTAAACCCTACACCCCAAACCCGATGCCCTAAACCCTAAACCCTAAACCCCAAACCTCAGGCGGTCACCTTGTCCATCAACTCACTGAGACTGCCGAGCGTCTCCTCAAGGTAGCCCAGCAACCACATTCTAACAAGGGCACCCTTTTTGGGTTAGGGTTTAGGGTTTAGGGTTTAGGGTTTAGGGCTTAGGGCTTAGGGTTTAGGGTTTAGGGTTTAGGGTTTAGGGTTTAGGGTTTAGGGTTTAGGGTTTAGGGTTTAGGGCTTCAGCTTCAGGTACCGTACTTTAGAAGGGAATCCACAACCCAAAAAAGGGGTAAAGGGGGTATATATACCACTGGGCGACCAAGTCTCAAAGTCCCTGGCGAGGTCGAGGAAGGCCCGTGACTTGTCGGACGGCAGGACGTACTGCGACGCATCCAGGAACTTCTCCGACACCTCCCAGCAAGGGCTATATTAGGCCTTTAAGAATCCCCCTAGCCAACCCTCTATAAAGGGCCTTTTTCAGGGGTGTAGGGTATAATCGCCCATGCACCTCATCCCACGTCAGCGGGTTTTTCGGTCCTCCGCGATAGTGGAGATCGGACTCCTCGAAGTAGGTCTGACCGTCCTTGGTGGTGAGATAGATCTTTGAAACGATCCTGCCCTTGCCCAGCGCATCAATCTCTGGATCAATGGCGACCTCTACCTTGGTCTGCATCTCCTGGCATTCCGGCGATTGCACGAACGCGTCCGTGAACTCCGAAAGCCCGGCCTTCCGGCGCAGGACAATGCTCGCCATTTGGAAGGCCACGCAGAACTTGGCCTCTAGCTCGCTGTTCGCATGCAGAATCCGCAGCGGGCCCGGCTTGATAACGTTAGAGCCGGTCAGGACCTTGATCTTCTCCACTTGGTCCGGCTGGATGTTGTGCTTTTCCACCAGCTTCTTCATGGTATCCATGCCCGGATGGCCCACGACGCCGCTCGGATAGGGCTTGATGGAGGTGCCCGGATAGACAATGGCGTAGGGGTTGCCCATGCGCCCGATGATCTTTTCTGGGTCATAGCTTCCGCCGAAAGCCTCGAAGAAGCCCCGGCCCGCTTCCAAGGCATTGGCTGGACCGGTCATGCCACGGGCAGCAAATCGCGCCGCTGTGACACCGTTTTCCGCCGCGCGCGACATATTCAGCGGTTTCGACATAGTGCCGTGGTTGGCGCCAACCCCTGCCGACATGGTCGATGCAATCGCCATGGCGTTGGCGGTTTGCTTCGCATCCAAGCCCATCAACTTTGCCGAGGCCATGGCAGCGCCAAAGATGCCGATGGTGCCGCTGCTGTGAAAGCCTCGCCCACCGGTGAAGTGCTCTGCACTGATGGACTCCGCGATCTTCACTTGGACCTCGAACCCCAGTATGAAGGCGGTCAGAAAGTCCTGGGCCGACGAACCCAGGTGCTCACCCAGCGCATAGCAAGCGCAGAGCGGTTGCATGGTCGGATGGATCAGCACCGACCGGTCTTTCTCCTCCGACAGTGCGGTATCGTCCCAATCCAGCGCGTGGCCGGACATGCCATTGATCTGGGCGGCTATGTGAACCGGGACTTTCATGGACCCTTTGCCGAGGGTGCGGGCGTGCTCCGCGCCGCCATTATCCACCGCCAGTTCGCGCAGGATCGTCGACGCCGGTTCGACCGATCCCGCCATCATCACTGCCGTCCCATCGACTATACACCGCTTGGCGATCTCAATGGTTTCCGCCGGCAAGTCGGCATATTCGGTGCTCACCACGAAATTCACCAGCTCGCTCGTAACGCCGCCTTTCGCAGCTTCCATAGCCACTTTTCTTATGCCCCTATTGTCAGGGACAGGTTGGGTGACGAACGGCTGCAGCAGAACGGTCGGACAGCGCAGCTGCTGAGAGGAATGCCGAAGAAGCGAACAAAGGCCGCCCCGCCGAGAATGGCTTTGCAACGCATGCATTCCGATCCTCAACCTCAAGCCCTATATCCCAAACCCCTAGCATCAAATTAGACCCCGAACCCTAAACTCAAGCCCTGAATCCCAACCCCTGAGCCCCAAACCCGCAGCCCCTAAACCCTGTAAGCCCCGACTGGACCCTCAACCCGAAACCCGAAACCCTAAGCCCGAACCTATAAGACCCTAACTTCGCAAAGTGAGTCCATGCTCTACACTATTGAACCGCGGAGCCGCGCAAGTCTATCATGGCAGTGCAGACCGTGCAGCTGGAGCAGCGAACATACCCAGATCTTCCAAAACCCCTTAACTAAGGAATATACCCTAATCTATACTAAGGATTCTTATTATGAATTAGAGTATATATACCTTAATTAAGGGGTGTTGGAAGATCTGTGTAGGGAATGTTTTTTTATTTTCATTTTTTAAATACCTGTAGCCCACCACCTGCCGCCGTCCCTAACCCCCTAAACTATAAACCCGGCACCTAAACCACATCGCAAATAAGTTACCCTCAACTAGCCTTTTTGGGTTTAGCGATGTAAATTTTGAACCCTAAACTCCAAAACCCTAGACCCCTAAGCCAGATACCGTACTTATAAAGCCAAAGCCCTGCAAACCTAGAAAACCCATGAGGCCTGAGCCACTGAAAGGTCCAAAGCTACAAGGAACAAACGAACTCTAGTTATAGGTGGAGTTTGTTTGGTGGACAATTGGGCTATAAGTATGAGAACTTCGGTTCGTTTAGGAATCCTACACCCCCAGGCCCCAAACCCTATAAACCATAACCCCTAAACCCTAGCAACGGAGTTTAGGGTTTGGGGTTTCAGGGTTTAGGGTTTTCGGTTCCCGGGTTTAGGGCTTAGGTTTGAGGGATCTAGGGTTGGGGTCTTAGTGGTCCCACTGCTCACGACGAAGACCACCTTGCAACATTCTTTGCGTGATCATGCAAACAGCGCCCCATCACCGCTCCATGTTCCCCGTCGCCTAATCTGCAAACCCTAAACCCTAAACCCTAAACCCTAAACCCTAAAATCTGCAAACCCTAAACCCTAAACGGGTCGTCAAGCCTGCTCTGCAGAAATGCCGAAGCATTCTGGTAAACCCCGAAACCCTGAAACCTCAACCTTCAACCCTGAAACTAGACCCAAGAGTAATTAACTGTTCAGGGTTTTTTTGGTTTAGGGTTTGAACCCTAAACCTCAAACCGTAGCACTCGTGAGGCTCGTGCACTCCGGCGCAAGGTATGCGACAGAGCCACCCAAGTAGACCGCCTGTCAAAAGAACTGGGGATGTTTAAGGTTGGGATGTACTCTCTTATACGAACAGTCCTTAGTCAGCACTATAACACGGGGGTACTATCATTCCTATTAAAAAACTGTTCGTAAAAGGGGAAACATCCCAAGTTTAAGGCTTCCGAGTCTGGGTTTAGGGAGTTTAGGGTTCAGGGCTGGGAGCTTGGGCTAGGGCTTAAAAGCCTCGAAGCTGAGAGCTCTGGGACGTAAGCCTTCACTGAACCCTAAAGTCCCGGTGAAAGGGCGCCTGAACCGGGTACGATGGCGGTCCAGGTCGGGCACCTTAATCCCCAAAACCAGAACTCCCTAACTCCCTAAACCCTGAAACCCTAACTCTCTAACTCCCTCACTCCCTAAACCCTGAAACCCTAGCTCCCTAACTCCCTAACTCCCTAAACCCTGAAACCCTAACTCCCTGACTCCCAGCTCCCTACACCCTGAAACCCTATCTCCTTAAACCCCAGACCACAAAGCCCAACAAAACCCTAAACCCTAAACCCCCAGACCGAAAACACCAAAACACCCTAAGCCCGGAAAAACAAACCTTAAACCCTAAACCCTAAACCCCTACCCCGTTTCTCGACGCAGAGGGTGTGAGGTCACCGATCGTGGTCCCCTCGGGAGAGCGAACTGTGCTAAACTATGAGGTTAGAGTTTAGGGTTTAGGGTTTAGGGTTTAGGGTTGAGGGCTTAGGGTCCTTAAAGAACTCTTCGGTCCCTTAATTAAGGCTTCTCCGCTAAGCGTCGAACTAGGGTAGTTGAAGGTTCTTCGCCTAGAAGGTCTTGTTGGGTTCAGGGTTCAGGGTTCAGGGTGTAGACTTTTTGGTCTGGAAGGGCTTTAGGGTGCTAAATCCTAAGCCCCTGAACCCGCCTCTTCGGGCGCTGGCGGATTTGAGCCGCGCCACCTGTGGCTGCACATCTCGCAGGAGGGTTAGGGGTTAGGGTTAAGGGTTTATGGTTTTGGGATATGGGTTTAGGGTTTAAGGATGGGTGTAGGGTGTACCCTGGAACACTATTTTCCTACAGTTTAGTTTTAACTACGCCTTAATTCGTAGGTATAACCCATCAAACTGTAGGTAAAGAGAGTCCCAGGTAGAGTTGGGGGAGATTGTCTGGAGAACCCTTTACAGACCCCGCAAAAACCAAGCGGCCTATACTTCAGCACCTTAAAACAAAGACAAGGGACCATCTCAAGAGATCATCATACTTTTGGCTACCCTAATCCTAGGTCCCAGGGTAGCAAAGTAAAAAGAGATGCCCTGTTTGTTTCAAGCGCCCGTAACGTTCTAAGTGCAATTTACTGCATGTCGGGAAACTCTAGAAAATTAGGAGACTAAACAGAGAACAAAATTCTTCGGCTGCATGGAGTATAGAAGACAGGGGGCCTAACCCCAAAAACACTGGAGAATGGACGCGCAGTATGCGCTCTATGCCTCGATGCCGCAAAGGTTTCAGGCCCATACGGCTTAAGGGTACCCACAAGGAGGGCCCCCCTTGGTTTATGGTTTAGGATTCAGGGTCTAGGGTTTAGGGTTCAGGGTTTCGGGTTTAGGGTTCAGAATTCAGGGTGTAGTGGGCAGGGCTTAGGGTTTAGGGTTTAGGGTGCAGGTTAGGGTTTAGGGTGTGGGGTGAAGCCATTGCTGTTCTTCAGGGTTCAGGTGACCTGAAGCCTTGCTTTAGGGTTTGGGGTTTTGAGTTCGCAGGTCACAGGCACCCACGTAAACACTTACCCCGCAGTCAAGTACCTTGTGGGCCCATGCAAGCCTTTGCCGTAACGAACAGCCCAGTCTGGGGCAGCCAAACCCTAAACCCTAAAACCTAAACCCTAAACCCTAAACCCTAAACCCCAAACCCTAAACCCTAAACCCTAAACCCTGTCCTGGCCAAGGATAAACCCTAAGCCTTAAACCCTAGTTCGGCATTCCCAGACCCTAGGGTCAGGGTTTTTGTCAGGAGGGTCCCCCGCCCCCACCCCCCCCCCCCTCTCTCCCCCAGTTATAAAACCCTAAATTGGGTCTTAAGGCTCCTAACTTAGGTTGCAAATCCCTTAACTGCCCTAAACCCTGCCCTCCTAGGTTGTACGGCCCTTGGGCCTCCGGGACGCCCCAAAGTCGGCGAGCTTCGCGGCCTTGCTTTCGGAGGCCAGGGTTTAGGGTTTAGGGTTTAGGGTTTAGGGGTTTAGGGTTTAGGGTTTAGGGCTTAGGGCTTAGGGCTTAGGGTTTAGGGCTTAGGGTTTAGGGTTAGGGCTTAGGGTTCAGGGTTTAGGGCTTAGGGTTTAGGGTCCTCCTAGCCGCTCCTAGCCATTGGGATCTCCGTTAGTCTAATCTCCGGAGTTTTCGGCATCAAAATGGGTAGCACCAAAAAGAGTACCCAAGAGGCACCAAGAAGGTCTCATGATTTAGATCAACCTTTAACTAGAACCCGCCCTCCCCTCAATCCGAAATCCCTCAACCCTAGCATTCAAAACCCTCAGAGCCCTACACCCTAAGACCCTATAACCAGACCACCCCCGCCTCCCCCCCCCCCCCCCTCGGCAATTGCACTATATTTTTTAGCGAGAAGGGAACCAAGGTACTCAATTTTTAGGGCAAGTAGAATCTAGAAAAAGGTGACAACAGGAGCTACACTTGGGGTCCGGAGCAGGCCCAGCCGGTAGTGGTCCATTATACCCAAGCCCTAAACCCTAAACCCCACACCCCAAACCCTAAACCCAAAACCCAAAACCGAAAACCCTAAACCCTAAACCCTAAACCCTAAACCCTAAACCCTAAACCCTAAACCCAAGCCCTGAAGCTCAAAGAGCACTTCACCCGCTAAGGCATCCGACCATGGAATCCTCGCCATGGCCCTGGCTGAAAGGCTTTTCGGGTGCTTTGGGAGCTTGGGAGTCTGGTTAGGGTTTAGGGTTTAGGGTTTAGGGTTTAGGGTTTAGGGTTTAGGGTTTAGGGTATAGGGTTTAGGGTTTAGGGTTTAGGGTTTAGGGTTTCGGGAGTCGGTCTTCGTTGCGTGTGTCCGCAGCGCGGTTCGTAGCTTTGGGTGCCTGAACCACAGGATGAAGTGGGCTTTCGCTGTGCGGCTCGTGTTTCTGGAACAGACTTGCCATGCTCGGCGTCGCATATTGCCATGGAGAAGGGTTGAGAGTTTAAACAGTAACTAGGAGCAAGCCCTTCAACCCTAAACTCTCAACCCTCAAGTTTAGGAACCCCAAACCCCAAAAACCCAAAACCCTAAACCCTAAACCCTAAACCCTAAACCCTAAACCCTAAACCCTAAACCCTCCCACCACACCCTAAGAATTCTCAGACTTACGAGGCGCCTTGAACAGGAGCACGTTGCTGCTCTTCAAGTCCCCGTGGATGATGCTCGGATGGCATCCGTGCAGGTAAGCAACACCTGGGTTTGGGCTTTCTCTCTAGGGCTTAGAAGTCCCTAAACCCTAAACCCTAAACCCTAAACCCTAAACCCTAAACCCTAAACCCTAAACCCTAAACCCTAAACCCTACAGTAAACCCAAAACCTAGACCCTAGGGTTTAGGGGCTTAGGCGGACCCTAGGAGGGCTTGGGTAACCCCATGTACTTCCTTTCGGAACAGGGTTGCGAGTATAGAGGGGCCCTACCTACCTAATTCCCTACGAGGAAGTTGTAAGGGGGGTTTAGGGTTTAGGGTTTAGGGCTTAGGGTTTAGGGTTTAAGGCCCTACCTACCTAACT